TTCCTTATTTCCTCAAATCGAGCTACATTTCTCTGGTACCCAAAGCAAAATCTGCCAATTCAGGTCAAGTCCCACAAAGCCAAATGGAAAGTATCAACCAACTATATGATCCAAGTCAAGCTCCTTCTGTGCATTCAGCCTGAAATTCAATCTAGCTTTGTACTATCTCTGCTCACTGTAAACTTGCAACTAATTTGCTTTCTAGTATTACCATTCAGTATCTCCTGCACTCCTGCCTTCCCACTCTAGATGGCTTTTTTCCCCTGTGTACTAGCACGCATTTGTCTACAAGAAATCTAAGTTTTTTATTTATTGCCTAAATCTCTTGTCCAGCAAGACCTAGTGCAGATTCTTAACCTGTTTAGACTAGAGGCACTCCTCAGAAAGTGTCAGCTCTTAGCTTTCACTCTTTTTTTTTTTTTTTTGACTACGGAAAGAACTCAGAAAAAACAACAACAGGTTAGAGTGGTTTTGACACTAGGGAGTCCGATTTGAAGTCTCTGGGTATATTTTATGAATCATGTGTATGTAGTTCCATGTCTAACAGCTAATTTTGTATGGCACCCTATGGCACCCTTAAAAGGATCTCAAGTCATCCCTGAGCTAGAAAAAGAAGACTGTGTTTGGAGTTTCTAGTGAACCACAGAGTAAATTGGTTCAGAGTAAAAGAAAGAACGAAGGAAAGAAAGAAGAAAAAGCCAGGTAAGACAAGGCAAAGCAAGAGAGAGAGGCATGTCAAGATTACAAAATTACCAACAACAACAACAAAATAACTCTTGGCAAGCTATGCTTCTTTGAACAAGGACTAAGGAATTTTTGTGTAGCTATAAATATTCAGGTGTAATGCACTCTAAACTAGTCGTTCCCAACTTTTTTTACACTGTGGACCAGCACAGGAGCAGGACGGGGTGCACGAAGTCGGCTGCTTCCCTACCAGGGCTGTCCTGCCACCCAGCTTTAATCCTGCACATGACTGCTGGTGGAGGAAGCCACTCGCCCAGGCAGACAGTTGGGGGTCCGAGCGGGGGGCTTGTGCCACGACCTGGCAGCCAATCCTTGACAGTCCAGTACCGGGCCGTGGCCCGGTGGTTGGGAACCTCTGCTCTAAACCATATGAAAAAAAACAAAGCTATGAAAATTGCTTCTACAAGTGTTGAAATTGTCGTTTTCTCTTCGCCTTATTTCCCAGAAGTGTGCGATACTATTGCCGTATGTAGAGAGATGGCCCTTCTCTACAACCTACTCCGAGGGCTCTTCCCTGTCTCCTACCCTGCATTTAAGGAATATTCTGAGATCAATTTGGTAGACTTAGTGACTGGCTGAAGTACACGGTCTCTGAATCTGACTAAAATGTTTATGTAGGCAGCCTTTATTCGCACCTTTCATTTTGATATACGGTATTTATAGATGTTAAGATTTTTTTAAAGCATGGTACATTCCCTCAAACATGCGCCACAGCTGCAGATTAACTGTTCCTCACTTTGAAAGGCAGGCAGAAGTATGATAGAATACCAGCTCTAGGGTCATTAAAATGTTACCTCCCAGAACCCCACAGTTGCTATTCCAGTTAATGAAACAATGAACTGAACTATTTGGTAGCAGTCAATGGCATGCCAGAGGGTAATTGTGGAGTAATGCTAGGCTGCCTCTTTCTCCTTCAAGAATTAAGCTGTAAAGCAAGAAACCAAAGGCAAAAGTCAGTGCCTTGTCCTTTGTGACATGTCTAAACTGGCTTATCCTGCTCGTGAAGCCAGTTTGCTTTAAACACAGCTTAGCATGAAGAAATGAAAACATCAGCATCCTGATCAAAATGAGCTTTAAATCTGCAGCACTCAGCCAGTCAACTACAGAACTATGCCAAGCCTCAAATCATTTTTAAAAAACACAGGTTGTTGGAAAGCAAAATATCAGTGCTCTTCCACTGGAAAAACTACATCTGAAGAACAACCTCCACCTCCAAAAGTTATTTCTGGCTCAGCCCCAAGGCCTTTGTTGTTTTAGGTGAACTATTATCCAGAGAATATAAAAACAGAAAGCGCCTGCATGAAGAGACCTTTACAAATTGCTACAATTGATTTCCCCTTGGAGTGATCTCAACTGTTCAACAGATTTAATCTTTTTCTTTTTTTTTCCTCCAAATCGTCTGTCCTACTGTTTGGACCCAGCAGCAGATGACACACAAACCATTATAAGAGAGGATGGAGTTAAACTAATATTACATGCATCTTGACAACCTTCCCTATAGGATTTTGAGGTTACAAACTGCTGCCGCATTTTGTTATTCTATATCCATAGACGGTAGGAACATGCGGCTTACATCACTTCTAAAAATCCTGCCCAGCCTTAAAATAAAAGGAAGTGGGAGATCTTCCTTCCTAAAAAAGCTCCAGTAAGACAGATCTATCAATTATCCCCAAACTGCTTGTTGCTAACTTCAGTTGTTGACAGGAATACACCCAATAATAGCAATGGGAAAGATACAGGGCAAACTACCTTTAGGGAAAATTAAATCAAGATTTAGCAAGCTAGCCAACTACTTCCTGTTTCAGTTTTGTTAAGGTAGTGACATCTTAACAAAGGCATCTTAAAAAAGAAAGTGTGAGAATAAACAAAGAAGTATACCTTCAAAGTTTTCTTATTTTACCTGAAGAACAAATGCAGAGCACAATGAAGGGCCCTGTTACCAAAAAACAAGGCGGTCCCTTTAAATCCAGAACTTTCTGGGCACAGCCAGCCAGTCGAGTAGGGGTTAAGGATCGAGCCCTGGTCAGGTGACAGGAAGGGGAAAGCCAGAACCATATAAACTGCAAGTGGAGAAGGCCAGACAGGGGGATTCCCGATGACTATGGTGCAGTTGTAGCAGCCTCTTAGGGAAGAATATGCCATGTGATGAGACAGAAACACGTTCATAAAGTAAGCAGGCACTTTACCCCTCTCATTTCTTTACTATTATTTCCATTATATGGCCATAGGAGCCTGTGGTTTACGTTTGATGTTAATAAGGGCCACTGGTTTGTGGCTGAGGCTGTAGGGGTGGAGGAGGCCTCATTAGCACCAAGGGGCACTGTGATAGAGAGCTCAAGAAGCCCTGCTGCACTGGGGGTGCTGCACTAGGGCCACAAGCCCAAAGTCTCTTAGAGGAGAGAGGAGCCGTGAAGGCATGTCAAGGAGAAGTAGGAGCATGCATTTTTGCCCTTAAAGCAACACCTCATTTTCCTATGGGTGGTGAGCCTGGAGCCTGTCTGGGAACCTGTAGGTCAGCCTCCCTTTTTCTTCAGAACCAAGTAATATCAAGTCATGGCAGGTGAGTAAGGGGTGGGGGGAAGAAGCTGATCCCCTGAGAAGAAAAATCCAGCAAGACTTGATGGGGTTTCCTGACCTGCAGGCCTATGCCCATATTCAGTTTTGCCCAGTATGCATTCATCCACACAGGCAATGAAAAGCAACATAAGATGACACTAGGCCTCAATATCCAGGACCGTAGATTTCAGAATATTTCTGATGATGGACAGCACAAAGTATTTCCCTCATTTTCTAAAAGAGAGAGTAGAAGCAAAACCCAACAGCAAAATTTAGTGACAGCAACAGAAATCCAGTGGATACTCTTGACACAAATTCTATCACAATTTTAACAATAGACTTTTGTGATAGAAGTAGAAAATAAAAGCCCTGAAAGACAGAAATTCACTCTCCTCCAGTCATTTTAAATGACAAGTGGCAAAACCACCCTACCTAATGGGAACAAAATTTGCTGGAATAGAAGCTGAAATCATAAGGCCGTAACCTGAAAAAAAAAAAGTTAGTCCTCAATCAACAGCTTCAAATAAAAAGAGATTAATTCTGTCCATCATGCTTTAAAAGCCTCACTGATCTGAGATAATCTCACATCATAAAATACTTCCCTTCTTTATGTGCTGTGGACAACACTACAGTTCTAACATCTTGGGGCACGTAAAAATTAAAGTGTTTTTCCAACTGCCCTTAAATGCTGAGCCTACATCACTAAAAAAAATTGCATAAAAAGAGCACATCCTGCCTGAGATGTACTAATCATAGCTGAGGTTACTGTTACAACTGAATCAAGAACACGAAATGATGGGCTTACTGGGAAAAAAGCAGAAGAAAAGCCAAACTGCCAAGATCACCCTGCTGCATGTGTGGGAGGAGAATACTGAGGACAATACTACAGCTCTAACCCAGCACTCCAGGTGATAAAGGGTGGACTAATTCAGGATAATTTCAGAATAAATATTGCTTACATAAAAAGTTGAGAATATTTTCTTGCCAGCTCCACTTCAAACAAAACCAGAAGTTAATGAAGCTGGGGCTACTGCAACAGAAAGGCCCTCAGTAATATTTAATCTTCCAGATTTAAGCAAGACAACACTTTTGCCAGAATTATTTCATCAGTTATAAATAAACCTTAACTTTATGAAGATCATCAGAAATCTTAAAGAAAAAAAAAGAAACAAGTGTTAGTACAGCAGGAA